ATGCAGAGAGACCCTGTGAAGAAGCTATTAACCTTGTTTTCAGGGAAACCCTCTGGATCTTCAGGTGGTTTTCTGCAGCATCTCATTTAAAGCTATACAATTACGCTAACCATTTGTTAATTAAGCCCAGGATTTAGCTCACCTTCAGTGCCAGATTACTGAGCCCATACAGCCCCGTACCATTGCTACACCGCACTCAGGCCGAGAGAGACCCTGTGAAGAAGCTATTAACCTTGTTTTCAGGGAAACCCTCTGGATCTTCAGGTGGTTTTCTGCAGCATCTCATTTAAAGCTATACAATTACGCTAACCATTTGTTAATTAAGCCCAGGATTTAGCTCACCTTCAGTGCCAGATTACTGAGCCCATACAGCCCCGTACCATTGCTACACCGCACTCAGGCCGACAGCCCCAGGGGAGCTTCACGACCGGTTCCAACAGTCCCAGGCTCTGCGGCCAAGGTGACCTTCTCCTGACGCAACCCATCTCCCCAAGAAATAGCCCCAAATCTTTGCTTTTGGGATCGTCACTCTTCGCTGCATTTCACTTACCCGTGAGATCTATCGTACACGAAGACTCGCAAGGTTAAAACATACTTGTTTCTTCCCCTTACGACCAAGCGTAGGCTTGGTTTAACATCAGGCCCTGAGCGAGAAACTCTTACTCCCCTTTGTGAAATGAAAATACGTTCTTCTTCCTCAGCAAGATGCAAGCTCTCTGCAGAGCGATTGTTTCTCATTACATTTATTCACCGTGCACAGCGTAGCCGTGTCTCGATACCCAAAAACTCCAGTCACGGCTGCAATGCAAACACCAAACCCCATTACATGACATTTTCCATAAGAATTACCCCTTGTATGTGGTATTTTACATCATAAACACGCAAAAATAATTCTGCACACAAGTGCAGTTGTTCCAAGTTATTTCGATGGAAGAATTATTCACACTGTTTTTGCTGAATTCCCTTCCACTCTCAGAACGAGATCAGTGTCTTTATGAAATCTCAGCTGTCGCTCTGCAAATTCACTTTCAGTTTTTCCAGTATCGTCCACAGAAGTAACTGCTAACTCACTAGTGAAGGCATATGGCTATTCACACAGATAAGGATGTCAGGACAAAGGACTGTATTTCTGCAAGAAAAGGCTCTACATGAAAATTACTGGTATAAATTCCCATTTGACTTCTGTATCTAGAAGGGAACTGAGGCATTTTGGAAAAGGCCTTTGTAAAGATAAGTGAAGGCACCTGGGCTAGAAATAAAATGAAGTTAATCTTTCATAAACCATCACAACACAGGCTTTCAAATAGCTATCTTTATTTCACCTTTGTGACTGATCAAGAAAAGGTACACTTCAAGAGACAGGAGTTTCTGATGCACAGCTGCGAAGCGATACAGGCGTCTCCCAGTGTACACTGGCAGTAGCATCAGGCAACGCTACAAGTCCCCGTTTCCTCGTCACCTCCTGGGCCGCTCCTAGTCAGTGCTGCTCCAAACTACGCAGAGTTCTCTCCACTAACTTACGTAAACGGAACACAAACAGAAGGACAAAGTATTGAGCGCTTTTTTTAATTAATTCCATGCATGCTGTGCAAACATGGTGCGGTGGTGAAGACCACCGGGACGTCGGGAGCCTTCTCACGGGGCAGGGCTGGTTGTGATGCACAGAGCTGATGAAGTACACGAGGGCTCAGCTACACGATTAAGTTACCATGCAACAACTTAGCTCTTGTAACTTAATCAATGGCGTGGTTTTAGGCTGCAGAGGAAAGAGGGAAACTGCAATGGAGCGAAGTTAAGCTACAAGCAGGTTGGCTCCCGTTTCCCGCAGCCCAAAAGCACGCTGCTGGTTTTCAGGGATTAGCTAACATGCAGCATCCAAACACGGTGGTCGTTCACCAGACAAGCACACCAGCTCATGCAACACCAGCGTAGCCTGCAGATGCTACGCAGCGGGGCTGTCAGAGTAACTACGGTAGTTTCGACTCCAACGTTCTCCCACTTTGTTTCTAAATGAATTTAGCCACGTGGTAACTCACCCGCTTTGAAGCCCAGACACCAGGATGGAAGGAGCTTCTCTTCTACACAGATGCAAACGCTTTGGGGGCATCTTCCTCACAAATATAGTTTGGTACCCAAATAAGTTTCCAGCGAAAAAAATTTCTGCTCAAAGATTAGAGAGGTACTCCAAAAAAATGCAAATCTGAGTGCCCTGGTTTGGCAGAAGCTCACATCCAGAAGCAGCAGCAACTTCTACACTCAGAGAGGGGATGCCAGTTAAAGGCTCTGAGGATAAAGCGAGGTTTGGTTTCCCCTTACATACAGAAAGCTGTGAAGTAGCACAGATCAGAGTTCAGCTCCACACAGAATGAAGATGGAGAGCATAAATACAGCACGAAAAAAGGTGGTGAAGATTTTGATTTTGGGAACTCTGAATATGCTTATATGTCACTGGGCTTTTAAGAGTAGCATGAGTAACGAACAGAACAGATTAATACCAGACATGCTGTAGAACGCCCTTTGCTACGGCGCTGACTATGCAAATTGTTCTGTACGGGCAAATCTTCGCAGAATCAGAACTTCTACATGCAGTTTTCTGCAGAAAAGCAGCAATTCCTCAATTCACATGGGCACAAGATTTAGAGATATATATATTTTTATATATAGGTGACAAGTACAATCTGAACGTCAGTATATGGCTATCCACTTCAGATCTCTTTAGACATTTGAAACCCGCATGTTTCTTTCCTCAGTTAAGAAATTTAACTCTTAATTCCCCAGGCACTGAAAGGCTGCATCTTGCACGCTTTTAATGTAAAAGACTGTCACAAGAGAGCAGCAGTGACCTCGACGGTGTTGCTAGGAGACAGGAGCGAGTAAATAGGAGGAAGCTGTATTAGCCTCGTCTCTCTCGAGAATACAGAGAGAAAGCGATTGCCAGAGAAGGAAATACCCATGCATGGGTACCTCTGGGCTCTAACACAGCTCACCCCTATCCTGAGATAAGCATCCTATCCTGCACTTAAGCACATCTTTAATTCTAAGAACATGCAAAAACCCCACTGGGAAGAGATAGAACAACAACATGCTTGAAGCAATGCCCTGAACACAGACCCTGATTCTACAACCTTCCAGGAGTTTGTCTGATAAGGTGAGGAGGGTGGATCCCGGGAAGGCACACACGACAGCAAGAATAAAGATCACAATCGGTTCTTTTCAACCACATCACAGGTTTCACCTTATCTGCTTTAGGGAACTCAGCACCTTGTTTGGTTTGGTTTTTCCTAGGAAAGTTAGTTTCACTGAGCACAGCATATACTCTGTGTTGCTGTATACAAGTATTTTGAGCGTTTTCACGTGTGAAACACTGATATACTCATCTAATCCAGCAGCAGATGGCACGCCAGTGTCACCGAGATCCCGACTCCAGCAGGGAATTTTAGAGGGCAAGTCACACCTGCTCAGTTGCACCAGAGGGAGAACTAACACAGACAAGGTCTGGCAACTTCTACTATGTTTTACAGCTGCTGATGCCAAAGCTGCTAGTTTTATCTCAAAGACTCCATGGTCTCACGCAACTGCATGACTGGGGTTCTCCACAGTCTCCTGGCAGAGGGGAAGCCTCCACAGTGATGGGAGAAATATTTAAGGGCTTATAATATTATTTCTAAATACAGGGCAGAGGCCCTTCTGAACACCTTAACTAGGCCTTACCCATCCCCTTTGCTGTATCTCACCAAATGGGGTGTCAAACATGACTGGGGATTCACTCCGCTCTCCAGGTACATGAAAACAGACAAAAAGATGAGAGGTCCTGCCCACCATAAATATAACCCAGGAATCCTAATGTGCAACTACGTAACCAACCCACAGCACTCTGTCTGCTCTCAGAACTTGAAATAAAGCCTTTCACATCAATATTCAATCACAAGACAACAGCTCCAAATGTAGTTTTCTTTCCACCACAAGCAGCAGAGCACGGGTCAAGTCCCCAGAGAAAGGGGGAAGATGGGCCAGATATAGCTTTTCCTACCAGGTACTGGAACACCATCTGCTGATCAGGTGGTTTAATACTTCTGACACCACCTTCAATAAGCCCTTTTCCTCTTAAGCAGTACCACCAGCTGGGGCTGCTGCTCACACACTACCCCTTTTTCGGGAGAAAACAAGTACGATCCTTGCTAGACTGCAGGAAGGCGGCATGCGGTAACGCTAGGCCTAAACCAGGGAAGGTGGGCACGTTCACCTGGGCGATTTTCAACAAGCCCAGGTATCTGCGATGTCAGACCTACTCAAGCTTGTTAGCTACAGAAACGGTATTGCAGCAATATGAGCGTTAAGTCTGTGGCAGAATGGCTTCTGGCCTGGGCAGGAAGGGCAAGATCAGGACTCTGATCTTCAGACCCACCTTAGTAATGGCCTTCAAACGAAAAGCTAAATTGTGTCATTACGTCACAAATAGAAGCACTGTAGTGGAGACAAAAAAGCTCAAAAAAGAAAAAAAAAGGACTTTCACACACCCCACCCCATCTCCAAAAAGGACCATAAAGTTATCTCCCTTCTGAAGCAAGCAAGAAAGAAGATTTCTGTTTTTACCTCAGACAACCCATCTCAAATCTACCCACAACTATTCTGTAAATACAAAAAGAAACAAAAAAACCCCAAAACAACAATAAAGGGAGAAAGGCCACCCACCCTACATCTGAGGTTAGATTATAATGGCTCATATCTCGTAAGAGTTCTGATCTTGGACTTTGGGTTACTAGCTACACCAGCGTATTCAAGTCAGTGAAATCATCTCTGCCACTGTGTCACTCTCCTTTTTGGCTTTTCCACTGCACCGCTGACCTTTGCCATGTCCCCTGCACCTCCAATAGGTATCCGTTTCTTACGCCTACGTTCTCAGGAAAGACAAGGCGTCTACTCCCCAGCCACGAGAGCCTGCTGGTACGCTTTACCTCCTGGTGCCCACACCACTCTCCTCTCGCTAGGAAGGTAAGGACATACACCACAGGGAGAGACCTAGTGAAAACAGAAGGCCACATCACTGCCAAAACCCCACATCCTGAATTTCTACACAGGAGCTTTCTCAGGAGTGCATATATTAGCGGTTCCACACCTATCCACCTGCAAGGGCAAATCAACTACGAAGCAACCGCCAAGCTCTGCACTCAGAAAATACACAAGGGGGAAAAAAAAGAAAATAAGCCACCTCCAGCCTAAAGCTGACCACCAAAAGTGGAATTGAGTTTTCTCACCTAAATTAAACCTAGTACTTCAGCTACGAAAGACGTGGGTAAGTCCACTATCTCACCAAAGCTGTGTTTAGTAACTGATGTTTACTCTTCATTGACTGATACAGAGCTGTTCCCAAAGTTTGCTGGGATCCGTACAGCAGACGGCCGCTGGGCAGCACTCCCCACCTGAAGCACCTGAGAACCTTGGTGCAGAGAAGCTGTATCAGCATACAGACGGTCTCTGCAGTCAGACACGGCCCGTCTCCTCAGAGAACACCACCATCCACCCAGCAACCACAGAAGGGCAGTGACTCCCAGTCGCTGCTAGTTCAGGTGGTATTGGAACTGATCGGTGAAAGGCTTTATTTTTTAATCATTTCCTAAGCCATCCATATCACTTTTTCTGAGCGAGAATCTTGAAGCAGGAGCCAATACAGCTTATAGCAATTTATGTTTGGGGTGCAAACCACGAAGAGGGTGATGGGTATTCTGTCAAACAGTTAATCCCGCGCATGCCATCAGTAAAAAAAATGCATAGCCCTGGTGCAAAGTAGGTCACTAAAATATGATCCACTGGTAGAGGACAGGCAGTTCATCCAGTTAGGAACTAAAGTGCTGTAGGTAACTAACATTAGGGCTTTATTAAGTAAGTCATTCAGCAACCAAGTGTTATTGTCCTACACAGCCTGCTTAAAGTACAGTAAAGCATTTTTAAAGGATTTTAAAAATCAAACTAGTTTGACATACGACAGTACACACCTACACATACTGGCTGCATTAACAGGTGGATTCTGAATTGTAAATAATCCTGCAGTTCATTTTTCACACACAAGCAAATAAAAACAGTCAAAATATCACTCAGACTCATATAGCATCCACCAAGCAAGCTTTTGAGAGAGATTGAAAGTAAAGATAATTTAAAAGTCACCTACAATTATAAACAAGACAAGGACACAGACAGGAACAGTCTTTGATTGACTGTTCCTGGCAGGTAGCTTCTGTGATCAAAATGTTGAGCTCTGTAGTCTCCCCACACCAGCTGAAAAGAAGTTATCTGGTTCATTGTAGGTTTGGGGCGGGGGGGCGTGGTTATTTTTTCCTCTTTTCAAAATTATGTAAAACTCAGGAGCACATCTAGAGAGATATTTTGACTTATTTGCACACGCAACCGGAGCAGGCTCCAGCCACTAAGAGTTACAGCACCCAGACAAGATTATATAAATTTTAAGAAGGACTTGAAGCAAAACAAAAAGGTGGATCTGGTGGAGTTTATCAGAGGCAAAAAGATTTTAATATAACATGAGGAGTTGGCAGAGTCAGACAGTCAAATTGAAAACCTTCCTTAGCAGGTCTGGCAGAAGCAGAAGGGAAGGGCTTTGCAGTTTGTAACGAAGAACTATTACATACACCACAGTCTCATCACCTACCCATTCTCCTGTTCTCCCAGGGCACCTACCTTACTGTATGTCACTACCGACAAGTTGTTCGAGTGACTGCTGGGGGAGAGATTTACAGAGTTTTGTGACAGTCCATTCTGATCTTGTTCGATTTGGTCAGGAGCAGGCCCCCATGTGTTTTTGCTGATTGTGCCTAGCTCGGAACCCCCAGGGTCTTTTAGGTTGTTTTCATCTGGTTGCCTGTTCTTCTGTGGAGAGGCGAACGGGTTAAAGTTTCCTTCTACCTTGCGGTGCGGTTGCGTGTTGAACTCTGTTTCAAAGGATGACAGCTGCTGTGTTACACCTAGAAGTCCTCCAACTTCCACACTCAGGATCACCCAGATGACATCTGTGGAAAAAGACACTCGGCTTGTCACTACGTGGAGTTTATGAAGGGAAAAAGAGAAAGCCAGAATGTGAAGCCCATCCTTTACAACTGCAAGAAACAAAGACTGATTGCTGAAAGTACATTTTTATGAGGCATCAGAAGTACTGGTTAAACACTAATTGAGTGTCCAATCTTTCAAGAGAACCAGGCAAGTTTTACTCACACTGAACTTACATGAGTCAGCTAAGAACACATGAAAACCAAACTGACAACAGCTTGAAGCTCCGTGCTTCCAATTGGCAATAGGATGCACTGGGAAGAGAAAACCTTAAGTGACTTTATCCAAGGCTACGCAGCAAGACTAAAAGGAGAGCCAGGAGATATCACTGCCAATCTTCTACTCTGATGGTAAGGAAAAGGCAATGGTTTTTGTTTAGCATTGAAAGGCCTGACTATTAAAATAAAACAAAAGGATGACCTAGAAGGTAATTATGTTTATGACAATTCACTACAAAATAAGTCCATTCCAGCTCCAAAACACACACAGTATGTGGATAAGACATCCAAGATTGGTATAATATTACACAAATTTGCAAACTACTGGTTAGAATAAGAAACAGATTTACAGTTCTTCCTAACGCCTGTCTCTTGTACACGGATAAGACTGTTATTTTACTTACCATTTCATTTACACTGCACGCAAACCTTATGGCCTATTTACATAAATGCATTTCTTGCTATGTACCCAAATTCAGGTTTATTGCTTTTTTTCCCCCCTGCATTAAGCGTGCTTATTATGTTTTGCTGCATGGAGAGGGAGAATTAAAAAGAAGAGCAGCAATACCTTATCTCATCTCAGCAGATCTAATAACAGCACCTCATGTCACATGTAATTGTTTCCAGGTTTTCTGCAGTCAAGTGTTAACCTACAAGGGGCTCTTTAGTGCTGCCACCGGTGTCCTGAGGAAGGGGACAGCAGGTACTTTTGCTGTATGGTTTTACCAGCATGGAAACAGCATTAATTCACTGCAGCTCTCCTTCCGGCCCTCCCCCGGTTTAACAGGGTTGGGCTCATTAGTTCACATTTTACAACCCAGTGGGATTTTGCCTTACCAAAATACGACTTCCTTAACGTCCCTCAGCACTCTGCCAGGGCTGAAACCCCCCTACAAACCCCATTAAGGCTCTACAACAGCCCAGGACACCGCGCCCCACCCCCGCGGCCAGGCCGGGCCGTCTCGCC